GGGAAAGAGCCACACACCTTGAATCTTAGTTTTGAATTGTGGGTACTTGTTGAGGACTTCAACTTGTTTCTTCCAATTGAACTGGTTTTTCCAGTAGGAGACAACCTTCCTGAGATACACTGAGTTAATTCCATAATGGAAGCAACTGTTCTCCAGTGGTTCAGTGAATCGAGCTTGGTCAAGTCTCCTAAATAAGTCCTAAAGGGAAAAAGAAAGAAGGGACATTACAAGCACTTGTGTCTGCCATCTTGTGCTCTACTGTGCATAGTTTCTAGTTAGTCCCAAGTGAAATGAGAACATGAAAATAACATCTCTAATGACACCTGTGCATTTTGCTGATGCTCTATCAGCTGTTCCAATTCTTTTTCTCCTCCAAATGGCCTCCTTCCTCTTCCATTTACAGCTGTTCTTAACACTCTCTCTGTCTTTGTTTTGCAAAGATGGCTAACCTATTTGTCAGGCTGATAACCACAGAGGACAATACACTTTTCTGACAGCATTGTGGCTTCACAGCTTAAGCGTTGTTGCCTTTCCACAGTACTTTGCTCCCCAGGTTACCCGCAAGCCCAATCTCACAACCAGTGCATGGATCTGGCCCGAACAAAGGGGCGGGGTGTCTTCACTGGGAAACGCTCTGAGGGATTTCACGTGGCCACCAAGTTGGTGAAACTAGATTGGAGTCAAAGTTTCCCAATCGTGAATAACTATTAAAGTGACCTTCCTACTGCACTTCAAGGTTAGAGGGGATGCTGACAATACTGCAAAAATCAGTCCAAAATCACTCTGCAGGGAAAGACAGCCAAGAGCCTCTTCCTACTGTAAACAGGACCACAGAGTAGTTGAGGGTGGAAGACAGGTCTGGAAATCTAATCCTGCTCAAACCTCTCTGGGGTTTAAACCTGAACAGCATTTTCCAATACAGCAACAGAGGTAGCTCTCCTTCTGACTAAGACGAGTTAGGTGTATACACTGGTTTATGCCTCGCACTGAGCAGGCGGTCTCAGCCTAGGCAAGATGTCAGTACATAAGCTAACTGTTCCGGCATTTAACACCTGTAGAGAAGGCACAGATTTTTAAATGAAGTTTTTAACATGTCTTGACATATGTGCTTTTTGTCCATGCTCATCACCTTTTAAAAAATGTTTTAGTAGTTTACACTAGGATAACTCCTAGTTTATGTAAGAAACAGTTTTCTACCAATGGATTATGTTGCAATAGCTGTCATAATACAGAATTCCATGTTTCAAAAACATCTGTAAATTAGAAATTATCTAGCTTTGTGTCTGCAGTGTAAGGGGAAACCATATTGGAGATCAATGCCCATTGCTATTAATAAGGAGGACAAACAAAGTGTTGAAGAACCCAGGCCTTACTGAGAAAATAGGAATCCATTATAAATGAATAATATAAGCAATCCCATGAGTACTGTTTGAACCACTACTCCACACAGATCTATGAAACTGTGCAATCCCTGACTTAAACACACACAATCAAATCTTGCATTCTAACAAATTCTGCAATGTATGTGTTTACTGTAATTACTACTGTGGTATTAGCGTTGACCAAAATAGATCATTAATTACAGAAGAATCAGCATCCAACACAGCTGCAAACAAAGCAGTCAAGAAAATGAGATATTTGTAATTGCTTTTGAAAGGAAAAATAACAAATAAAGACATTGTTCTTATTCTAGTCTACACAATCGAACTGAGGAAGGTGCACAAACAGGAACACAGAGTTGAGTAATCTGTAACATGATTTTTATGTTTATTAGGCTTTACAGAGGAGGTTTATTTACTAGCAGTGTTGCAACAGCCAGCTAAGAACAAAATTGGATGTGAAATCTGCCCATCCATACCCATCTTCTGAAGTACTGAAAAATCCCTTCCCCCATATCCTGCACATCATTGCTCATTCTCATAAATGTAACTATTGGTTCAATTGAAAAATTACTTCCAAACAAGTTCTACATTTATTTGGTCATTTCTTACTTCTCTCTCCCCGGTATAGAGATTTGCTTACGCTTAGCTCTTCTTCTGTGGTTTCCACCTTAAATGGCCAAATAGTTGTATCTTCTTCAGTGTCAGGCTTTTGCCCCTTGCCCCACCATCCCTCTTTGAAGGGTAATGTCTCTTCTTTCTTCTTAGAAAGAAAGAAATAGATGATGACTGTCCCTAGAACCAGGAATACTTCAAGCAGCATAATGTCTGCAAAAGAAGAACAGAACTCTGGTAAGCCCAATCAGATAGTTCAGAGACATGCAACGTACTTTGTCAACCTACACAACTTAAATGGGGAGAAATTACGTGTTTTACATAAAAGACATTTAATAAAAACAGAACTCAAAGCAAGTCAAGAGATCACATGGCTTGGTAATTAAATAGTCCTCTAATTAACATGCCACGTTGGCTTCCTCAGTGGCCACTGATTGCTGCTAAAGTTCAACAGTAAAGGAGGTGACTGTGGGTATAATTCAAGTTCAGTGCTTTCTCTTCCTCTTGAAGCTCTAGATTTCCCACAAATCCCAGAGCAGAGCATCTCCTCAGTAAGGCTTACATATCTACTGTTATAGATATGGAAGGATAAAAACCCAAGACAAAGAGAATAAAAAGTGAAGAGCATGAGGGCAGCCACCTTGTACTTCCCAGTCAGCCTGGAGGGAGTGGGGCAGGGATGTATTTACATCACCCTTGAACAGCAGTGCAAAGGGTAGAAGGACCTTCCCTTTCTTTCTCCCTCTGAACTGTTTTAAAGAGAAAGTGGAAGACCACGTGCATGCTCTCCTGGCTCTAAAACACCCTTCCCAAAGTGATAAAATTCTGTCAAAGTGAAGAACAACCTGATTTCACAGCATATCTGCACAACTCAACTGCAGGGCTGTTGTGCTTTAGTCAAATAGAACAGCTTAACAAGAAGAAAAAAAAAATCCATTTTGAATATATTTGAACTGTTTCATGCTACAAGTAGAAAAAAAGTTAGACTCTTTAATAATTGATGTTTTCAAGCATCCCTTTAAGTACGAAAATGTTTGTAAGGTGGTTTGAGGAACAGTACTGTCATCATTTTAATGCATAATTTTAAAGAATGTCATGTTTCAAACACTCATTTGCCAGGGAATTGGTAAGACATGAAGTTTTGAAAAACTTCTGCAGGGCAAGCATTGTTTGTGACACAGAACAGTCTTCATTCTCTCCAGAGCTGGAAGGTTTTGTTGGTTTTGCTGCTGCAGAGTAATTCAATGCTCTGAAATTGTTCCAAGAGTCAACAGAATGGACAAAATTTATTCCTGGATCGGGACAAGAATTGTAACACAGTTAATGGGAGTTCACATGATTATAACAGGAGTAAAACTGACCAGTCTTGCAAGGGCCTTGATGTGACAAGACACATTTTAGTCAACCTCTTCAGTTTAATTTTCTAATGGCTGACAATAAATAGAACAGTCACAATAAGCACCCACTAAAACGTTTGCACAGAAGTCTGGCACTGTGCAGATAGGACAGCAAGCTACAAAAATATACTGCTTATACATGCAAGTGCTACAGCTTTGAAAAGTGACCTGATATTCCTTAATCCTCAGGCTGGAGAAACGGGAATGATAGGCACTGAAAGAACTCGATCTGTTTATTCATTTCACTGGTCCTTCCATAATTTCTGTTGTTTGAAGAAGTGCTAGTTGTTCTCCACAATGTTCTCTGGAGCACAAGACAACAATCTTTTCCTACCTCCACCATACTCAGGCCATAACTTACCCCAAAATTAAAAAGTTTGTCCAATTTCAGCTTGCCTCAACACATAAACCAAGGCAGTGTAGGAGCCTCCAGAGCACAATTAAATTTTACTGCAAAGCAGAACTGGAAGGGCTTTTAGAAGCCTCAAAGCACTTTACATAGAAATAATACCTACCACAGTACTTAATAGCATCTCTATTACTAAGTCTTCACAGAGAACAGCAGCAACTTCCCTGAAATCACAGCACAACTCAGGCCATGTCTAGACTACAAAGGTTCACCAGCATAACTGTGTAAACACCACATACAAAATATTCAAACTCTTGGGCAACTTAAATATATTTACAAAGTCCCACGACAAACAGCCATGCCAAGAGAAGAGAGAGCTGCTGTCAGTGCCAGCCCCACTGTTCAGGCAGGATGGCTGAGGTACCTAAAAAAAATAGAGGACTCCCTCCTGGCTTATGCTGTATCAGCATCATGGCCTCTGCCAACATGGTGGCAGAGGCACAGCACCTAACACGGAACTGCTTTATCCAGGAACAGAATCTCGGCCTGTTCACCAGCAAGAAACTCATGTGTCCTAAGTCACTGGAGTACCCACAACTACAAAAATATTTCTGCTTCCCCCATCTGCTCTCAAGGAGACTTGAGAAATCACAATTTTTGCAGCAGAAGACATGGGAGGGATTGTGTATTTTGCATTCACACTGGAGTGTGGCATACAAAGAACTCACTACATGAAAAAATACCCATTTTTGCAAATAACTCAAAACAGACTTTAGGATGAGCTTGTTTACAATCCAGCAATAAGTGCCAAAATCCATTTCACATCTCACAAAAGTTACATCTTATATTGCAGAGAACCAGGGCCAGTGACATTTATTTGCATGAGATGTCATTTTGACTTGGAAGAAGCCACCTCTGATACTGGTTGGATTATTTTTTGCTAACAGAGAGATATCCCAAGTTGCTCTCTATATTCAATCTCTCTCAGTTCCCTTGAAAGTGCCTGTAAAATTCCTAATTACAACAAACACAGGGGCCTAGAACTCCAACTATGCTAATTTTTTTTCTGAGAGCACAGGAGGTTGAGAAAGGCCAAAGCACGTCAGCAGTATTTTAACTCGCATCAGTTCATAGCATGCTCAAAGGGATTGTTTTGCTAGTGATGAGTTACTGGAACGCAGCACGCTCCTGCCAACCTCTCCAGCCTGTGCTGAGAGGAAACCACTTAGAGCAAACGCACTCCATGATTTCCCAAGTTTGTTATTCAAGCTAGTTCTCTAAAACTCCTGTGTGTTATTTGAACAGCAGAAAGCAGCCTCAGTCGTAATGCATCTGCACCAGAATTTCCTCCGCTAATCACTACTGAGCTGTTGTGAGATGGAAGTTATTAGCCCCTTACACTTGTTTGATGATACAGCAATACAGCACCATGAATGCAGAAGGAGAAATAGGTACAATAAAGCTTTTCTATACTTGCAGTTTTCAGAGATGTAAAACAACAAAGTGGTGGTGTTTTTATTCTCTGAAGTCTCTTGATGAAACCATGCTGGCATGTTGCCTTTAAAAATGACTACTTCAAAGGGAGTTCATGTTTTAGTGTGGCTTTTTCCTCTTTTTATGTGACCAAAGGCAAGACCTTAGAAGGAAATATTTCCATTTATTCCATGGTCAAGTACTTAGGCTCCAAGACTTTGCTGTACCCCAGGGTGGATATTGTTTGTAGACAGCACTTAAATACCTGTAGGATAAAAGTACTCTGTAAGAGTCCAAGGAAGAATGTTTGTGTTTTGCTACTTTCAAAACATGTCTTGAAAGAAAAATGTTGAAGCGTGATGGATCTAGTAAATAGCCCAAAAACTAGCTCATCTTGAAGAAAGCCAAGTGCATATCAAGAAATACGTTGTTTGCAAGAAAACCCCAAAACTTTCCACAGCATCTTACTGCTCCTTGTTGAAAACAACCCTTGTTTTTCAGCATTTTTTTGCTTTTTGATTTGCACTGTCCTCTGTTCGTGCACTAACAGCAGAGCTAATAGCTCCACAGGAGCAGAGCAATTATTATTTACATCAAAGCTATGTCCTGTCTCATGCCCTGTCTTCATCAGTATCCAGTAACAGATGCCCTGGAGAACGGTGCTATTCATTGTTTAGAGAGGTCATCTATGAAAGAGCTTAATTGTAAAATCCCAATCTTGTTCTACTAGTAATCATTCACCTTTGCTTTGCAGCATTAGAATCCATTTGAAACATGTTATTGGAGAAATAAGCAACTGGAAAGACTTTCAACCTAACGTTTGGACACCTGTTTTGGCCCAAACGCTACGCAACCCAGCTACTATGGCTTGAATGATGCACAATACCCGCAGCTCTGAGTGGTGCTAATAAATCACGTAAGTGCAAAATGTGCAGCAAAAGCTCTAAGAGACCACGCTGCCTTCAGACATGTGCCAGAGGTGATCATGGTTTAGAGTTAATAACTAGCAGACTACGAGGTGGCTCAGAGCACTTAGCACACTCTGATGTTGTCGGATACAAGGTTTATTGATTAATAATTACTCTGCAGGAGAAATAACAGCTCAATTTAAAAGTGATGTTTCCGTTTATGTAACGGAACAAAAATAAACTCCCCCATTAGGCTTTACTGAAAAGGCACCCCTCTGCTGCAGCGTCTTTGTTTACAGATCGGTTGCCTGAAGAGCACCAATTGCAGGTTATTCTTCCCAACTGATCTGTAGGAAAAACAGCCCACTGAAGGACTTCAAGAACTGACGGCTCCTCTAAAAGGGTCCCCTAGCACTGACAGCCTAAAAGGCACTAAGACATGGCACAGTCCCAGAAGCCTCACTCTCAGCGTATGCCCTACCATCTCCGGGCATCACATTTTTGTCATTATGTAACACCAGAAACAGACAGAAAACCGTAAAGACATTTGTATAAGAAAAGCTTCCTATTTATGTAGTTTATGGAGCATTATGACAAGCTTCAAAATAGCTTAGCGACACAGGAATTGCTTTGCATACAACTGATAACATCTCCCAGGTGAGCATAAAATGATGCATTAACATCGTAGGAGAGGAGAAGAGGTAGGCATCAGATGAAGTAAAGCGTCCTACACAAGGAAGCAAATCAAAGACAGGAAATACAAATCCAACAGAGTTTCTGGCTTGTCTTGATAAGAAATTTAGCATTTACATTTTTTATTGCCACAGGGAGGTGGCACACAATGCTATCTCCAAAACAGCAGGAAGAGATGATATCATTCTGTTCCACAATCTTTTTCTAGACTGTTCGCAATCAGGAATTAGCCAGTACAGCGGGAACCTAATTAGAAGGCTACAACCAAGGAAAGGGGTCACATCCCCAAAGAAGGAGAAAGCATGCTCTCTCTTCTCCCAGGGGGATGGCTGGGCCTCTCCCAGGAGCGGGACACACTGCACCTGAGACAGGGTAAGGGGTACACCTCCAT